TAAAGGATTAAAAGCAAGGAGGCACTGGATTCTAGCCGCACCCACAGAATTATTACAGTTAGTTGCTACTAAGTCTACCAGTCTGGAAACCTATTCTTTCTGTTTGCATTCCTAGTTTGTGTTCTTGAACAAATGACACAAGTCTTTCCGGACCTTTTAAACAGTAACTTTTACACTGAGGTTGACGCCAGTGTGATCCAGCCAGCCTTAGGCATCTCCCCACTGCAATCAAAGCAGCTTTTTAGAATTTAGATGGTTTGACCACAGGGAACCTCCTCCAGCATGGGAAGTCTCAACCGTGATGAAAAAGACCTGAAGAGTTTCACTTTCAGTAACAACGCAGGCCATAGGAAATGAATGAAAAAAAAAAATCATCTTCAGGCAACTGAGAAAAAAGCATCTCTGAAGATGGAAAAAAACCCAGTGACCCTCCTAATGAAAGCAAAAGGATTTTTCCTCTTGGCATCACAAAAGCCATCTTTGGTGGGTAATGCTAAGGCCATGTTGTGCCAGAGAAGAGTGCACAAAGACAAATTATAATTTGGATATAACAAAGCGACAGATTATTTGCACCAATCTTGATCACGTTAGTTCTCAACACATTCTTAAAATGATGTCAAAACACAGCCAGTGGCTGTTTCTGATCTACTTCAAGGAAATTATGGCTTGCTAGGTAAAATTACTGGCCTGAAATTGGTGGAGCTCTGGACTACCCTGATCTATCAGAAGCTAAACAGAAATGATTTTGACTTGCAGTTGAAAGTCATTACTTTCACAAGTACCTGTGCATTTTCTCTTATAGAGGCTGTGCTGGTAACTCAGTATGTAGCCTTTTTCAGAGAGCGAAGAGTATTATGGTGCACAGTACCTACCAACATGAGACAAGATGAAAAAAATTCTTCACCACTTGTCCTACAGGATCGTAAATCAATTTTGCAGTGTCAGGGTGTTCAAACTTTGGCAACTGTAATCTACTAACATTCTCTCATGCTGGCACATATGCTACTTAATTTGACATGCCTGAAGTAACACAGTATTTCACTGTTACTTCTGGGAGCTGTGTGCTACTGAAAATGCAAAGGGACACCTGTAAGGCATTTTGATACTTCATCTCTGAAAGAAAGTTACATGGTTTAACATATAGCTGAATACATCAGTTTTCCAGGGACTGCTCAAACAAAGCAATTAACTGTAAACTGGCTTTTATTTATGGAAAATGGAATGCTTCATTAGCAAACATTTTAAATGGGATAAGAACAACACATTACAAAACAAATGAGTTCACATTGGATTGAGTGACAATATGGCAGCAGCTTAAAAAAAAATTACACTTACAGTAGCCCATAAGTTACAATTAATGGTAACCCTGGGTAACAGATTCATTGCAGTTGCCACCTTGCATTAAAAATTAAAACACTTTCAGTAGCGACGGTTAAAACGAGGATCATTAGGTCTGTTTGCTCTCTCCTGGCCAGCAAATCCTTCTCCTTGCATTCCTCCTCCATGCATCATCTGACTTTGGTTGCCACCTTGCATGAAGCCTCCACGCCTAGAAGGTGATTCAGACATTTTAATTTTCTCTTGTGACTCTGGTAATCAGGTTGATATAATGGGTGTTCTTTTAAAACTTCTTGTGTGATTTTTCACTCTTCAATAAGATGCACTACATAAAACCCATGGAAATATTTTATTATTCCTTGACATTTGAATAACAAATCAGATAACTGATGCTCCCATAAAATGTTTCTTGCGCCAATTTAAATAGAAGAGCTGTCCCTTAAATGGGAAATATATATTTTGGGTTTTTTTAAAGTTCTTACCCTGACATGCCTCCACGATGCATCACATGGCCAGGTCTGCCTCTCCCACCACCTAAAAAAGTTCAAATACTTCCTTTATATCCACAGTAATAGATTTACTTCATCTCCAAGGATAATGCCTGTATTTTCTGCTTTACATAGCACATAATGAGCTGTGCAAAAAGCGTACCTTGCCATCTCTCATGATCCCGTCCTATCATTCCTCCATCCACACTGCTCTGCCATGAACGATCTTGATGTCCTTCAAACTTTCGACCGTGATCTCCCCAGTCACGTCCATCCCTGCAGAAGTACGAAATTCAGGCCTTCTCACATTAGCCAGAGCACACATCACAGATTAAAGTAAAACAACTAAGTCACAAACTTACTCAAATGCTTTACCAAGGTACATGCAAATCTTGTATTTATATTGCTATCTGTTAAGTCAAATCTCAGTAATAAGCCTTCTGTTCAATCCAATTAACATGACAAATAAGAAAATAAGATGATTTTCTTAATCTGGTTTATGCTATGTTGATGTCCCAGTTTACTTTGAACATCCTAGCTTGTTGTTTTGACCAGTCAATTTATTTGTGGTGTTTTCTGTAGGCTGGCTTACTCAGAGGGCTTATTAAAAAATAAAAACACAACACAAAACATCAAACACACCCCCCCCCCAATCTGTAAGCATTTTATTAACTTGTTTTGCTTTCAAAGGGCTGACAAGATGGTCCTTCCAAAACCTACAAACTGGGAAAGAACTACTGTCCTGAAAAATCAAGTTTTGATAGTAATGTTAGGTAAAATTAATTGAAAACATAAAGACTTTCAGAGTGAAGTTATTTAAAAAAAAAAAAAAAATCACGCCAAGATGCACATCTTGATGCACAGGGCAAGCTGAGAGAGCTACTCATTTGTAGTCCATCCAACAGAGAACAGATTCAGGGGTGAAAATTGGAAAAAAAGAACTGTACTTCCCAAAACTGCGTTCCACTTTCACATATGGAAATATTCCTCAGATGCACAAGAAAAAATATTTTCAGTTAAGCATACTAACCGTGACTGTGGCGGTATCCCTCTACTTTCACTCATTCTTCTGTCAGATCCGTAGCTCCCCCAACTTTCCCGAGAGTCTCGTGAATGACGCTCTGGTCCTCCGTGGCGCTCATCTGGATAATGCTAAAAGGTAAAGAACACTTACAAGACTGCCCAAAACAGACTCTTTATTTGTTTAAAGTTGCTCAGCTGTAATTACTCAAATCTCAGAATCATTTAGGATGGGAGGGACCTCCTGTGATCATCTAGTACGACTTCCCTGCCAAAGCAGGGTCAGCCACGGCAGGCTGTCCAGAACTGTCTCCCATCAGGTTTTGAGTATCTTCACAGCTGGAGACTTCACAACTTCCCCATGCAATCTGTTCCAGTGTTTGACCACCACCTTCACAGTTTAAAAAAAAGAAAAAGCTGATTTGTTTTGTCTTCAGATGGAATTTCATGTTTTTCAGTTTGTGCTCATTGAATCTTGTCCTGTCAGTGGGCATGACTGAGTAGAGCCTTACTCCATCTTCTCCATACTCTCCCTCCCGTGAGGTTTTAATGCACATTGATAAAGTAACGCCTGAGCCTTCTCTTCTCCAGGCTGAATGGTCCCAGCTTTCTCAGCCTCTCCTCATACAAAAGATGCTCCAGGCCCTTAATCATCTTTGTGGCCCTGGGCTGCACTTACTCCAGTAAGCTCTTATCTTTCTTGTACTGGAGAGCGCAGCACTGGACAGAGTATGCCAGATGGATGCTGAGTAAAGAGGAAGGATCATCTCCCTTGACTTTCTGGCAACACTCTTCCTAATGCACCACAGGATGCTACTGACCTTCTTAGCCAGGAGGGTGCAATGCTGACTCACAAGCTTGTTGTCCATCACGACTCCAAGGTCCTTCTCTGCAAAACTGCTTTTCATCTGGTTGGTCCCAAGCATGTACTGCTGCATAGGGTTGTTCCTCCCCAGGACCAGGACTTTTCTTTTCCCGTTCTTGAACTTAATGATATTCCCCTCTGCCTCATTCTCCAGCCTATCCACATCCCTGAGTATCACAGCTTAGCCATCAGTAAACAGCACTTGAGAATTCCATGACTCCACAAAATTCATCTCTCACTCCTTGAATGGGCCCTGAAGGTCTTTCTCCCAGCCCTCAAAAACATGTAAAGCATCTCTACTAGTTTTGCTGTTATTTCCATGCAACTTCAGAGAGTGAATTTTATGCGTACTTTGTACCTTTGCCTTTTCCACAAAACCTTTTGGAATACTCTACCTTTTTGACACAATTCACTTGGTTTGTTTGATTTCTATCAGAATAACTATATGTAACTTTATAATAAACAAGTCTTTGAACTAGATTTCTTCTTATTAAAGAAAACAAGACAATCTGGTTATTGATACATATTTTGGGAGATATAATTTAATTCTTAATTACTGAAATTTAATCTGACACACACTATAGAAAACTAGGTTATAAGAAGTTAAGATGTTTCTGTAGCTTTATAAAGCAACTCACTTGTCCATCCCGATCTCCCATCATTGTCCTTGATCCATCTCTCCTACGAACAGACAATTAAAATCAGACTGCGGCAGTAAAACACACAGCAGTCTATAAAAATCCATCTACATAACAACACAGATGAAAAATCCTGCTTCCCTGTACTGCCAACGTTATCTACAAAAGGCACAAACAGCTGGAACATATGGAAACCATGACACATTTTGGATTTCTGGAAAACTCAGTTAGTCCTAAGGTATAAACCAGAATATTCTCATTAAGATGCTAGGTGCCTACAATATTATTTAGAAATTTTTCAGAATCTTACAAATGTGTGAAACAGCATTGCCAGCAGAACACGCTGAACAAACCTGCCAGAAGGTTTAACTCATAGCACAGTACAGATCTCTTCATGGTTATATAAAAGTCCACAGCCACTAAGCCACACTTAAAAAATAACATGCAAACCAAACACACAGTAAAGGCAGCAAAATGTGACATTAAATACATTTTTGTCTTTCGATTTCAGGCAACAGGGTGGAGGTAAGACACCAACCTGTCTATTGAGTGGTCTTGGTATCGGCCACGATCCCTGTGATCAAAGTCATGGAAGCGATCCTGGCGACTAAAATCTGAATGGTACCTATCATTCATTGCCATTCGTTTTGCCTCTGGCCAGTATGGATCATCTCTCCTGAAAGAAAGAACATTCTCATTTTAGTCAAAATAATGACTTTTGATACTGTTCCCTCCTTCCAAACCGTGCAAACCAGAAGAAGGGTAATTAAATTCAAAAGGCAGTTGAGAAACCTTACAGAGGATAGTTTGACTGGGGCTATTAAACATGCTCATCTTGATGCAATCAACAACTGCTGAGTAATGGAAGCTGAGAGCATATGGATAGCTTTTTATAGCACAGGCTGATGAGACAGAACCTGGCAGCAACATTTTCCACTTGCATCATTTGTATTTGCTGGCTTTACCTGCCATCTATGTCATATGGTCTTCTCATTGCAGACCGACGTTCTTGTTCATAGCGCAGTTGCTCATGCTGGCGTCGCAGCTCTTCTCTTTCTCGCTGAATGCGATCTTGTTCTCTTCTCCTTTCGTGCTCTATGTGCATTCGTTCTCTTTCCAGTCTTTCTCTTTCCATTCGTTCTCGTTCAAGACGCTGCCTTTCAATTTCCAGTCTCTCACGAGCAATCTCAAGCCTCTCCCTTTCTTCTCGTTCCCGGATAGTCTGCAGGTGCTGCTGTCTCTCCCGACGCTCACGTGTGCTATTTTAACAGAAACAAAAGGTTACAGATCTAATACTTCAACAAAACAAGGAAGTTAAAACGGGGGTGGGGGGGGTGGGGGGTGAAAAGAAAAAAGAAGTATTAAAAATTAAAACCACAGTGACTGCAAACTTGCATCAGCTCCTTGAAATTATACTGGGGGAGGGGGGGTGTGGGTGGTAGGGAGGGCACAGAGGAAGACATTCAGCGTACACATGAATTACTTGTAATTAGAGACTGATCATATTACTCCCACAAAATCCACCTGTGGGGGCAAATAATCCTATAAAGTCAGGAGAATTTGAATCCAAATGCCCTAAGCTCATTCCTTGTACTCAAATAAAATATCCAGCTCTGAAGAAGCCAGAATGGTAGGCTGGATAATACGACTCCACTAAGGCTCAGAAATCTACCTATGAGAGAGAAACTTTTTCCTCTCCAGTAAGGATGATGAAACCATTTTCCCCCTGTCCAATTCAACTTACTTTAGGTATGTAATAAAGTTTTGTAATGCATGGAAAATGTTTTAACATGGAATTTGGGTCACGGTTTTAGCAAGGAATTTGAAGGATGGCCATTACCACCTTTATCCTGTATTAAAATCATGAAAACCGAAATAAAACTCCACCAAAAATAATTAAATACCTGAATCAGGTTCTTAACTAAAAAGATACAATGTGGAAACTTTGAAGGGTTGCTGGAAAATGTCCCAATTTCTCTATAGACACAATGTATTTAAATACAAAAATATTCATCTTGTTTATTTCAAACACTGGAGACTTTGAATGCTATGACAAGAAAGACAAGGTCTTATTTTGAGAAAGACAACTTTTTTCCTGGTCTTTTCCCTGAGTGTGGTAAGTTTAGAATTATCATTTCACCTCTACTAGAATGCATGCTCAGCTAAGAAGAGCAGCATACTTAAATCAAGCTAAACCACAAAATCTACAAAATGGAACAAGAACAAAAAACAAACTGCAATTTTTTTCCCAAACAAAATTTGAAGCTTAGTATTAACAGAGTAAATAACTGGAGCTTTCCCAATTCAATAGATATGTGACCCACAAACATGTAACAAATTACAATTAAAACCCAAATCAACCCTCTCTTTATCTCTCAGTCATTTTAATCAAAAGAAAATTATATTCATTCTAGGGGGGGCGGGGGGGGGGGGGGGGAG